CCAGTCCTCAATCTAGGAACTCCTGACTGTAACCCATCCACCCATGGCTCAGTTAAGATTTTAGTTGACAAACCATCCTTAATTTCCTTTCTAAAGCTCTGTTTGTGTAAATTCATCACCCTCACCCAGGAATTCCATAACCATGAAGCAGATGCACTAGGCTTTGCATTCAACACACAGTCTTCAGGAAAATATTTTTCTCTTAAAATCTGTGTCATCAATGAATCAGGTTTTGTCATTAGCCTCCATATTTGTTTTAAAATCATTGCATCATTGAAGGCCCTGTAATCTTTGAATCCCAAACCACCTGCACTTTTTGGCACTGTAATCTTGTGCCAAGCCATCCAGTGTATCCCTTTTCCATTATCTACACCATTAGACCACCAGAATTTAGCACTGAGTTGGGCAATCTCCTTGCACACTCCCACTGGTAGGCAAAAGCAGGACATCACAAATGTTGGCAGTGCACTTATCACAGCTTTGAGTAATACCTCCTTCCCAGCAAAGGAGAGAAACTTATTCTTCCAACTCCAAAGCTTCTTTTTCACAACATTTATAACAAATTCAAAAACTTCTCTCTTTGACTTACCAATACCCAGGGGAAGTCCTAGATATCTTGTTGAACTGCACACCTCAATACCTTGCAGCCTCTGACACACAATAGCTTTCAAACTTTCTTGGGTATTTTTACTGAAAAAAACCGATGATTTTGACAGATTCACCTGTTGTCCTGTGAATTGTTGATACACTGATAAAATTCTGAGCAGGCCAATAGAGTTAGAAACATCAGTAGTACAGAACATAAGAGCATCATCAGCAAACAAGAGATGAGAGATAGTAGTTCCCCTTCTAACCAATTTCAGTCCCTGCAGCTCTCCCACATTAATAGCTTGAACAATCAGCTTTGAAAATACTTCAGACACCAACAAAAACAAATAGGGAGAAAGAGGATCCCCTTGTCTGAGTCCCCTAGAAGGAGTGACATATCCAGAAACTTTGCCATTAACATTAATTGAGAAAACAATAGAGGATATACAGGAAAACACCCAATTCACAAAAGTCTGATGAAATCCCAATTTCAGCATAATCTTCACCACATTGTTCCACTCAACACGGTCATAAGCTTTAATCATATCCAGTTTGACCGCCATATAGCATTTATTACCAGTTCTATGCCTATTCAGATAATGCAAAACCTCTTGAGCAATAGCCACATTGTCAAGCAACTGTCTCTCAGGAATAAAAGCTGATTGAGTGATACTGATGCAATGCTTCAAATATTCCTTCAATCTATTTGCAAGGATATTTGCAATAATTTTGTAACATACTGAACAAAGACTAATTGGTCTGTATTGTGTCACAGAGGATGGATGCTCACATTTAGGGATTAAAGTAATCACAGTGTGATTCCAATTCTTTAACATTCTCCCAGTATGAAAAAAGCTCAGAATAGCAGCTCACAGGTCATTTTTAATAACAGGCCAAAAATGTTGGTAAAATAAAGGGGTCATACCATCTTCCCCAGGTGCTTTATTAGGGTTCACTGAAAACAGAGCTGATTGTATTTCCCCTTCCTCCACTTGAGCTATCAGATTTGAATTTGCCTCCTCAGAAATGACTGGTGATATAAGGTTCAGAACTTCATCCTCCCCCCTTGACCCTTCAGAAGTAAATAGTTTTTGATAGAAGTTGGTAATCCACTGCTCAATTTGCTCTTGAGTCTCAGCAACTCTGCTTTGAGTGTCCACCAATCTTGAGATTGCATTTTTCTTTCTTCTTTGCATAGTTATGGCATGAAAAAACCTGGTGTTTTTGTCCCCCTCTTTAAGCCATTGAATCCTTGCTTTTTGTCTCCAAAACTCTTCTTCAGACATATAGGATTGATCCAGCTCCTTCTTAATGTTTTCCCATTCCTGCCAATTCCTATTACCTCCCAAAGCTATCATTTGTTCCAGTTTTAATGTCAGATCTTCAATTCTCTTCACATTTTCTGACTTTGAAGCTTTATTCCACCTCATCAGAGCCATTCTAGCATTTTTGATCCTCTCTTTGAGTTGGAACATCAAGGACCCCTCCACTGGACAATTCCATGCTTTTTCTACCTCTTCTTTACAGCCCTTTTTGCTCAGCCACCTCTTGTCAAAACAAAATCTCTTAAAAAGTTCCTCTTAGAACTACCTGTGTCCATTATCAGCATAGAGTGGTCTGAAGAGCTTATGTAGCTGGTACACACTATTGCTTCCTTATGAGCAGATAGCCAAGAATAAGAACCAAACACCCTATCTAGTTTGTCTTCAACAAATTCCTCATCCTTCCTGTTATTACACCAAGTAAAGGGGTAGCCCTCCATTTTTATCTCCATCATACCCGTTCTACCAATAAAATTATTGAACTCCTCACAACTCCTCTGAGATCTATACCTGCCTCCTCTCTTATCAAAATCCCCACAAACTTCATTCCAGTCCTCTCCCATACACCAATTTGGTTCCCACAATTGCCCCCTGTTCTAATTCTGCCCACTGTAACTTCCTCACATTTTTATCAGTGCTAGCATACACTAATATCAGCCACTCTTTCAACTCATCCTTAGCTCTTTTGAATTCCACTTGTATACAATAATTCGAGCTTAGAATTTGTAGAATATCTTCTTCAGTATTCCACATCAACAACAGTCCCCCACTAGAACCCTCTGGTTCAACTGTATACCTTCTATCTGCAAACCCCAGTTTCTTGCACACTGTGTCAGTAAAAAACTTATTTCTTCTTGTCTCTGAAATGAAAATAAAACAAGGGAGGTGGATCCTAATGGCATCCTTGAGCTGGGAAACTGTAGAGGGTCCTCCCAGACCTCTACAGTTCCACAAGATTGTCTTCATTGATCACTTTGGGGCCATTCAAGGCTGGCTACCCCCACCTGTTTGGATTTATCAGTTTTTGTTTTTCTGGCTTTCCTCTTCACTTTTTCAGTACTTTCCTCTTCATCTTCAATTTGCTGAGAACTCTCGACCCTTCCCCTTTTGCCTTTAACACTAGTCTGCTCCTCTCCTGAGAAATCCCTAGTTCTATGCAATCTCCCTGATACTTGTTGTTTCCTCTTCCAGGTAGAGAGACTTTGCTTTGAAGGAGAGCCCATTGTAAATTGAGTACTCGGAACTATCATTATTTCCTCCCCTACTATCACCAAATCCATTTGATTCTCCTGATTACTCCCACCCCCTGTCTCCTCCATTATAGCAGGTTGTAGCCACATTCTCATATTTGGATCCTGCTTTTGACCACTTAGTGATACAGAAGCCTTACCCTGTCTTGCTCCCATAGCTGAATAAATCTGGTCCCTTTGAGGTTGAGAAGGAATAGATACTTCTAATGACCCTCCTCTATTCATTCCCCTATTGTTATTTTCCTGTTCCGAATGCACAGGCTCTTCATGTATCTGAATATTGCTATTGCCATTTGAAGTTTGAGAAGGAGTGGAGTTGTGGGGAAAAACCCCCATTTTCCCCATTTCCATGGCTTTCATCCAATCCCCAAACCAGCCTTCTATAGGTTGCCCTTCTTCAATATCTTTAGCTCTTTTACTGCACACCCTCTCCAAATGCCCCACTAAGCCACAGTAATAGCAAAAACTCACCAATTTCTCATATTGAAAAGCCACACCTAATCTCTGATCCCCTAATTTAATATGAGCACATCGCAGTAATGGATCTGAAATCTCATGAGCTACCAACAACCTTAGATAACTTCCTTTGGCTCCCCCAGATTTAATCACTGCCACATTCTTAATTTTCTTAAATAATCTCCCAATCTTCCGCCCCACTTCCATACTCAACCAGTGCAATGGAAGATTATGCACCTGCACCCACAATGTAATCTCACTGAAGCAGGAGTCTTGAGCTGACAAACCTTCCCTCCACTCTTTTAACACCAAGTACTGGTTTTCAAATACCCAGTTGACCATTAGCATCACTTTCTCTTTGTCCTCCTTACAACCAAATATAAATTGGAAGAAGTTTGCTCCTACTTCTTTAACTTCAAAAGCCATTGATGTCTGCCAAACCATTCCCATCACCCGTTTAATCCCAAACATATTTGCTTTCCTGTCACCAATTATTTTGCCCAGAAGACTTCGCCTACATTCTTATTCACTTAATCTGACATCTTCATCATCCAGTTCCACATCACGACTTTCCTTAATTGATAGATTCAATGTTTGAAACTGTTCCCCCAAATTGTCAGCCATGGCCAAATAGAACCTTGATCTATTTTCTATAACTGAATCCCCAATATTCACTGATACTTGTAACCTTAGATCGCTTAGCTATCCCCCAATCTCGCTATTGAACGCTCTTCACCAAGAGAATGGAATCCCCAATGAGAGAATCAGCTCCCCAACGAGAGAATCGCCTCCCCAGCGAGAGAATCAGCTCCCCCCGCATTTTATTGTTTAGTTATTGGTATTTATTTTCAAAATGTGATTTTTAAGTTAAAATCTGTGATCGACTTGCTTTTCGTTTTGTTGAGTGTTTGACTTGGTCAATCCTCGTTTTGGATTATGCGAACTCCCATGTCTATTTGGTTGAGTCTTAGTGTCGAGTCTAAGTGTTCCAACAACCACAGGACTTCACGAACAACTTAGTCAAATCAAGTTCGGCTAAGTATAATTGTGATTTCTGTTTAAGTCAAATAGATGCTGATTGTAGCATCTGGACTTAATGTAGGTGCTTGACGTGCAATATCGATCTCAATTATTAATAAAGTATCAGTTTTGTTCCAAGATTGAACTAATTTCGCGACCAAGTATTCAGTTATAAGTTCGAAATTAAGATATGTTCAAGGAACAAGCCACACGAGTCATGTGGAATGAGCCACACGAGTCGTGTGAAGCTGTTGAGTCCGGCCCAATTATGGTGGGCTTGGACTAAATAAGGGTCTAAGACCCATTATCCTTTCATAAAATAAAAATAATAATAAAAAAAAACAGCAGGTTTTTTTTGCACAGATACGAGAACAAAAAACAAGAACAAATACTACCCTTTTTCATTCCCGCAACTGCACTGTGCAGTCCCAGAAAATCGCAGATTCCTGGCGATTGCACCGTTGGATTGTCACAAAATTTTGACAGCAGGTTCATGACTTCTTACTCTTCATTTTGAATGGTGGAGATCGTATTTTGAATACATTTCGGCTGTCTGTTTTGTGTGTGACCTGAAGGGGCAGATTTTGTGATACAGAAGCCTTACCCTGTCTTGCTCCCATAGCTGAATAAATCGGGCCCTTTGAGGTTGAGAAGGAATAGATACTTCTAATGACCCTCCTCTATTCATTCCCCTATTGTTATTTTCCTGTTCCGAATGCACAGGCTCTTCATGTATCTGAATATTGCTATTGCCATTTGAAGTTTGAGAAGGAGTGGAGTTGTGAGGAGAACCCCCCATTTCCCCATTTCCATGGCTTTCATCCAATCCCCAAACTAGCCTTCTATAGGTTGCCCTTCTTCAATATCTTTAGCTCTTTTACTGCACACCCTCTCCAAATGCCCCACTAAGCCACAGTAATAGCAAAAACTCACCAATTTCTCATATTGAAAAGCCACACCTAATCTCTGATCCCCTAATTTAATATGAGCACATCGCAGTAATGGATCTGAAATCTCATGAGCTACCAACAACCTTAGATAACTTCCTTTGGCTCCCCCAGATTTAATCACTGCCACATTCTTAATTTTCTTAAATAATCTCCTAATCTTCCGCCCCACTTCCATACTCAACTAGTGCAATGGAAGATTATGCACCTGCACCCACAATGTAATCTCACTGAAGCAGGAGTCTTGAGCTGACAAACCTTCCCTCCACTCCTGTAACACCAGGTACTGGTTTTCAAATACCCAGTTGACCATTAACATCACTTTCTCTTTGTCCTCCTTACAACCAAATATAAATTGGAAGAAGTTTGCTCCTACTTCTTTAACTTCAAAAGCCATTGATGTCTGCCAGACCATTCCCATCACCCGTTTAATCCCAAACATATTTGCTTTCCTGTCACCAATTATTTTGCCAGAAGACTTCGCCTACATTCTTCTTCACTTAATCTGACATCTTCATCATCCAGTTCCACATCACGACTTTCCTTAATTGATAGATTCAATGTTTGAAACTGTTCCCCCAAATTGTCAGCCATGGCCAAATAGAACCTTGATCTATTTTCTATAACTGAATCCCCAATATTCACTGATACTTGTAACCTTAGATCGCTTAGCTATCCCCCAATCTCGCTAGTGAACGCTCTTCACCAAGAGAATGGAATCCCCAATGAGAGAATCAGCTCCCCAACGAGAGAATCGCCTCCCCAGCGAGAGAATCAGCTCCCTCCGCATTTTATTGTTTAGTTATTGGTATTTATTTTCAAAATGTGATTTTTAAGTTAAAATCTGTGATCGACTTGCTTTTCGTTTTGTTGAGTGTTTGACTTGGTCAATCCTCGTTTTGGATTATGCGAACTCCCATGTCTATTTGGTTGAGTCTTATTGTCGAGTCTAAGTGTTCCAACGTCCACAGGACTTCACGAACAACTTAGTCGAATCAAGTTCGGCTAAGTATAATTGTGATTTCCGTTTAAGTCAAATAGATGCTGATTGTAGCATCTGGACTTAATGTAGGTGCTTGACGTGTAATATCCATCTCAATTATTAATAAAGTATCAGTTTTGTTCCAAGATTGAACTAATTTCGCGACCAAGTATTCAGTTATAAGTTCGAAATTAAGATATGTTCAAGGAACAAGCCACACGAGTCATGTGGAATGAGCCACACGAGTCGTGTGAAGCTGTTGAGTCCGGCCCAATTATGGTGGGCTTGGACTAAATAAGGGTCTAAGACCCATTATCCTTTCATAAAATAAAAATAATAATAAAAAAAAAACAGCAGGTTTTTTTTGCACAGATACGAGAACAAAAAACAAGAACAAATACTACCCTTTTTCATTCCCGCAACTGCACTGTGCAGTCCCAGAAAATCGCAGATTCCTGGCGATTGCACCGTTGGATTGTCACCAAATTTTGACAGCAGGTTCATGACTTCTTACTCTTCGTTTTGAATGTGGAGATCGTATTTTGAACACATTTCGGCTGTCTGTTTTGTGTGTGACGTGAAGGGGCAGATTTTGTGTTTTTGTTGATTTGTTTCTTGTGGTTAGCCAAGATCTTGTGTTGTGATCTTGAGGATTGTTGTTTGCCTCTAGTATATTGATCTAGAGAGGATTTCGGTTGTACCCATTATTGGATTGATATAGTGGATGATTTTAGCGGCCTACGGGTCCCGTGGTTTTTACCCAATTTGGGGGTTTTCCACGCTAAAAAGCTTGTGTCCTTTTATTGCTTGCTTGATCATCGTTTGGTTGCTATAGCTTGTAGTCTTTGTTGTTGTTGATTGGACTTGGTGCTTATTATTCGGTTGAAGTCATTGTTGTATTTGGTGACTTTAACCACAACAAAGTGGTTTACCTTTTATTTGGTGACTTTAATCAGAGCGCTAGGTTGGTTCGTGTACCTTGTCCAAATCATGGAGACTAACACAAGCCGGATGGTTACCTTGAATGGGTCTAATTACCATGTGTGGAAAGGAAAGATGGAATATCTCTATATGTGAAGGATTATTATTTGCCTGTGTTTACTGATGAGAAGCCAGCGGATAAAACCGATAAAGAATGGGAGCTTTGTCACCGTCAGGTGTGTGGCTACATTAGGCAATGGGTAGATGATAATGTCCTCAACCATGTTAGTGAGGAAAAGCATGCACGGACCTTGTGGAATAAACTCGAAGAGTTGTATGCGCGGAAAACTGGGAACAACAAGTTGTTTTTGATCAAGCAGATGATGGCTTTGAAGTACCAAGATGGAAAGACTATGTCAGAACACTTGAACACATTCCAAGGAATCATTAATCAACTGGCTGGAATGAATATCAAGTTTGACGATGAAATACAAGGGTTGTGGCTTCTTGGTACTGTACCGGACTCGTGGGAGACGTTCAGAACGTCTTTATCTAACTCAGCCCCGAATGGAATCTGCTCCATGGATATGGTGAAGAGCAGTGTGCTGAACGAAGAAATGAGAAGAAAATCACAGGGTTCTTCTTCACAGACGGATGTCTTATTCGTTGAAAGGCGGGGGAGAAGTAAAAGCAAGGGTCCGAATGATAGAAATCGAAGTAAAAGCAAGTCTGGAAGGTATGCCAACCTTGAGTGTCATCATTGTGGCAAAAAGGGTCACATCAAGAGGTATTGCAGAAAGTTCCTCAAGGAGAATCCGAATGGCAAAGGCAAAGAAAAGAAGGCTGGAGATGGTGAAGACGGTGAGAAGGTAGCGGCGGCTACGATGATTTTCTTGTCATTTATGAAGGCGATGTCGTCAATCTCGCTTGCCAGGAGACTAGTTGGGTTATCGATACCGGTGCCTCGATTCTTGTCACATCGCGAAGGGATTTCTTCAGGTCCTATACTCCCGGTGACTTCGGAAGTGTTAGGATGGGAAATGATGGTATTGCTAAGGCAATTGGCATGGGAGACGTGCACTTGGAGACTGAGAATGGCAACACCTTAGTTTTGAGAGGTGTGAAACATGTTCCCAACATTCGCATGAATTTGATATCTACCGGCAAGCTCGATGATGAAGGGTTCTGTAACACCTTTCGAGACGGAAAGTGGAAACTCACGAAAGGATCCTTGATTGTGGCGAGAGGGCAGAAGTGTTCCTCATTGTACGTGATGAACGTGAAGATTGCGGATCCTATGCTAAATGCGGTGGATGATGAACGCATTGTAGAACTTTGGCACAACCGACTTAGCCACATGAGCGAGAAGGGCTTGACAGTGTTGGCCAAGAAGAGTCTCCTCTCAAGTGTGCAAACGGGTATTCTGAAGAAGTGTGCTCATTGCTTGGCAGGGAAGCAAACAAGAGTTGCCTTCAAGAGAGTTCCATGGTCCATTCTGATGTATGTGGTCCAAGGAAGACGAGAACACTTGGTGGTGCCTTGTACTTTGTGACTTTCATTGACGATCATTCAAGGAAGATTTGGGTGTATATGTTGAAGTCAAAAGATCAAGTTGTAGACGTCTTCAAGCAGTTTCATGCTCGTGTGGAACGAGAAACAGGTGTGAAGCTTAAGTGCATCCGAACAGATAATGGAGGTGAATACTGCGGCCCGTTTGATGAATACTGTAGGCAGCAGGGTATTCGACACCAAAAGACACCTCCAAAGACTCGTCAGTTGAATGGGTTAGCTGAGAGGACGAATCGGACACTAGTTGAGAGGGTGAGATGTTTGCTTTCGCAGTCACAGTTACCGAGGTCATCCTGGGGTGAAGCCTTAAGTACAGTGGTGCATGTTTTGAATCTTACTCCATGTGTTCCATTGAATTTCGAGGTTCCAGACACGATGTGGTCGGGAAAGGAAGTTTCATATGATCACTTGCGTGTTTTTAGATGCAAGGCCTTTGTTCATATTCTGAAAGATGAGAGGTCGAAGCTCGATATGAAAACAAGGCCATGTGTGTTCATCGGTTATGGTCTTGATGGTTTGGATACAGATTCTATGACCCAGTGCAGAAAAAGCCTATAAGAAGTCGAGATGCGGTGTTCGTAGAAGACCAGAGTATAAAAGACATCGATAAAGCCCAGACGACAGAGAAGTACAACGATGATCTGGTTGATTTAGATCCAGTCCCTATACCTACTGTGTATCCTGATCAAGGGGGAGCGGCACCAGAGATTGATATTGGTCATGCAACTGGTGATGTCCCCACAGTTGATGACGTTGAGCCAACTGATGAAGTTGAAGAAGGGGTTCAAGAACCACCAGAAGAACCTATTTTGAGGAGATCCAGTCGAGAGCGGCGTCCGTCTACGAGATACTCCTCAAATGACTATGTGATGATCACCGATGCCGGAGAGCCAGAAACTTACCAAGAGGCGACCTCAGTCGACGAGATGAAGCAGTGGTTGAAAGCCATGGAAGAAGAGATGAAGTCTCTTCACGAGAACCACACTTATGACTTGGTGAAGTTACCGAAAGGCAAGAAAGCGCTAAAAAATAGATGGGTCTACAGATTGAAGATAAAAAATGCTAGCTCGCAGCCACGATTCAAGGCACAATTGGTTGTGAAGGGGTACGGTCAGAAAAAGGGAATCGACTTTGAAGAGATATTCTCACTGGTGGTGAAGATGTCCTCGATTCGAGTTGCACTTGGTTTAGCGGCGCGATTGAACCTGGAGATCGAGCAACTTGATGTGAAAACTGCGTTTCTTCACGGTGACTTGGAAGAAGAAATTTATATGGAGCAGCCCGAGGGATTCCAAGTTCAAGGCAAAGAGCACCTTGTGTGCAGATTGAAGAAGAGCCTGTATGGCCTTAAACAAGCTCCGCGGCTGTGGTACAAGAAATTCGACTCCTTCATGGTGAGTCAAGGGTACAGCCGGACATCGTCAGACCATTGTGTGTTCGTCAAGAGGTATTCAGATGATGATTTTATTATTCTCCTCTTGTACGTTGACGATATGTTGGTCATAGGCCATGATACTAGCAAGATTGCCCAGTTGAAGAGAGAGTTAAGCAAGTCTTTTGCGATGAAAGACTTAGGAGCGGCGAAAAAGATACTCGGTATGAAGATCTCTCGTGATAGGAAAAATATGAGGCTATGGTTGTCCCAAGAAGACTACATCGAGAAGGTACTTGAGAAGTTTAACATGAGCAAGGCAAGGGTGGTGTGTTCTTCACTTGCAGGTCACTTCAAGCTCAATTCGGAGCAATGCCCTACAAGTGAAAAATACAAGGCAGACATGGTGTGCACCAGGCCCGATATTGCTCATGCTGTTGGAGTAGTCAGTCGTTTTCTCTCCAATCCGGGAAGAGAACATTGGGAAGCCGTCAAGTGGATATTGAGATATCTTAGAGGTACCTCAAGGGCATGTTTATGCTTCGGTGATGGTGATCCTATGCTAGTTGGATATACCGATTCAGATATGACAGGTGATGTTGATTCCAGAAAGTCCATTTCAGGATTCTTGATGACTTCTGCAGGGGGAGCCGTGTCGTGGCAGTCTAGGCTGCAAAAGTGTGTTGCGTTGTCTACCACAGAAGCCGAGTACATTGCGATTACAGAAGGTTGTACAGAGGCTTTGTGGATGAGGAAATTCCTAGAGGAATTGGGCTTACACCAGGAGAAGTATGTTGTGTTCAGTGATAGCCTAAGCCTATCCACCTCTCTAAGAACTCGTCATTTCATTCGAGGTCCAAGCACATTGAAGTGAGGTATCACTGGATTCGAAACGTTCTCGAATCAAAACAATTACACTTAGAGAAAGTGCACACGAGTGAAAATGGTGCAGACATGATGAGGAAGACTTTGCCGAAAGAGAAGCTTGAAGTATGTCGGCGAAGAGCGGGCTTGTTGGAGCCCACCACTTGATCCGGAGGGGGAGTTTGTTGAGTCCGGCCCAATTATGGTGGGCTTGGACTAAATAAGGGTCTAAGACCCATTATCCTTTCATAAAATAAAAATAATAAAAAAAAAAACATCAGGTTTTTTTTGCACAGATACGAGAACAAAAAACAAGAACAAATACTACCCTTTTTCATTCCCGCAACTGCACTGTGCAGTCCCAGAAAATCGCAGATTCCTGGCGATTGCACCGTTGGATCGTCACCAAAGTTTGACAGCAGGTTCATGACTTCTTACTCTTCGTTTTGAACGGTGGAGATCGTATTTTGAACACATTTGGGCTGTCTGTTTTGTGTGTGACGTGAAGGGGCATATTTTGTGTTTTTGTTGATTTGTTTCTTGTGGTTAGCCAAGATCTTGTGTTGTGATCTTGAGGATTGTTGTTTGCCTCTAGTATGTTGATCTAGAGAGGATTTCGGTTGTACCCATTATCGGATTGATATAGTGAATGATTTTAGCGGCCTACGGGTCCCGTGGTTTTTACCCAATTTGGGGGTTTTCCACGCTAAAAAGCTTGTGTCCTTTTATTGCTTGCTTGATCATCATTTGGTTGCTATAGCTTGTAGTCTTTGTTGTTGTTGATTGGACTTGGTGCTTATTATTCGGTTGAAGTCATTGTTGTATTTGGTGACTTTAACCACAACAGAAGCCACATGAGTCGTGTGAGAAGGCACACGAGTCATGTGGGAGGAGAAGAAAAGGAAAGTTAGCTTCGGTTTTTTCACACGAGTTGTGTGATAAGGCACACGAGTCGTGTGGAGTCACATGAGTCGTGTGACCTTAGGCACACGAGTCGTGTGAAATGCCACACGAGTCGTGTGACCGACAGTAAGGTCTGATTAGTGAGAATCCGATTGTGACCTCAACTAGAGGCCATTTTTGAGGATTAACTATGTATTTGAGAAGTATACAAGTTAGTCTTTAACTAGTTTATGTTTAATGATGTTTATAAGTTTTATTTCTTTATTTTGTTCATTTCTTCACTCCATCTTCATGTCTTGAATTTGTGCCTATAAATAGAGGCCTAAAATTCAGAGTTTTTACACCAAAGAGAAGTACCAAAAGTTATATAAGTTTATAAGAGAGAATAAGTAGTAGAAATTTTGGTGAAGTGAAGAATCAAGTTTCGATTCTAGCAAGAAGGAGGTAATCTATTTATCATAAAGTGTCATACTAAAGTTCATGCTTTGATAATGAGTTTAGATGTTTATGAGTATATATCATGATTTAGAAGTTGAGTTTATAATTGATTCTATGAATACAAGGAGTTAAAGTTGTTTCAAGATCAATTATATGATATATGTGCTCGATTTGAATGAGATTTTTATAAGGATAAGAATAAGCTGGAAAACTATGATTTAAATGAGTAATTTTTATGTAAAAGAGGAGTACATAAGAACAAGAATTAAGTTATTTTGCATAGTATAGTTTGAGTTATAGATTTTTAAAATTAAGCATGCAAGTTGAATTTTATGTTCACTATTTTAGATGTGACTTTAAATTCTAATAACTTGATGTATATGCAGGTTAGAATTATGAAAATTTTATGACATGTCTAAGTATGAGTTAAGGATATGACTGTTAAATTTCATGATTTAAAGATGAGAAATGAATGAGTTAAGATAATTAGATGTCATATATGCAAAGATGAATATATATGCAAGCATATTTATTATATGTTCAAGTTTTAAAGTGAGATTATTATGAAATATTCTCATATAAGTGATGATCAATTTGACAAAGTTTTAATTTAATATGTTGAGTATACAATTTTATAAAGATTGTTTTAAGTCTCGCATATATCGTATTTGAGTGTTATGATTAAAAGTTGAATTGTATGAGTATTAAGTTGAGATTTTAGTATCAAGTAAGTCTAAGATAAGTTTAAAGTTTTATAAATCATGAATATGATGTTGGTAAAACGAAAGCATGTTTTGAGTTTAAGTATTCAATCAAGTATAATGTGAAATTTAGTTATTTTCACACTCGAGTTATTTAAGTGACATGCGAGTATAAGCCAATATCTATGATTTGAAGACATGATTTATATGGGTTAAGTAATTGACCTTGAGTAAAAGTTCAAGTAAAGTTGAGTTTTAGTATTCATTTGGGCAATAGCATGCCTATTGAATATCTCTAAGATTTGGATAAGTTATCCGTAAGAGTTAAGAATCCCAACATCTTATTGAGTATACGAGCATAGTACTTAGTATATTTGTTTATATTTTATGTAGCTTGAGGAGTTAGCTACCCAAGAACAACACTTACGTTTTTCGAAAGAAGAAAGGTGGGGACCCAGACTGGGTATTACATTGAGTATAATATTGATATCATGTCCGAGGTATGTATAAAGTTTAAGTTTATACGCTTGAGATGAGAAGGCTATAAGTTGCCTTACAAGTATATCCTAAGGTCTGATGGAGGCCCCAAGTTGCCTTAAGAAATATCCATCAGATTGTGCACAAGTATCCGATCAGATATCGGTCAAGAGTAAAGATTAATTTTAGTTACTGGAACAGATTTCCAGTCCAGATATATATACCAACGATCATGATATTGTACTATTATTTTTGTGCACTTTAGTATGGGTGATTTCGGGGTACAAGAGGATCAGTACTCACCCCCATTGTGTTTTTCAGGTAACATGGTCGGGCCGGGGGTATGAGCTCAAGATGTGGTGGTGGTGGTCGTGCACTTATTTCATTGGACATTCATTAAAGATTTGATATGTCTGTATAATAAATCACGTTTTTAAGCATTTTCGCTATGCATATTAAGACTTGAACTTGTATTTTAATAAATTTCAGATTTCAAGTTTTTACCATTCAGAAGTATGAATATGGTACAGTTAAATGCAAGTTGAATAAATCTGTTTTCTTTATGTCTAAAGAAGTATTAGACAAAGTTTAAAGATAAACGGATTTTCAAGAAGATGAGTTTGAGTAGCATACCGAGTTCGTCGCAAAAGATTTCGAAAGATTTATAAGTATTTTCGAAAAAAAGTTGCGAAAAAGTTACTCTGATAAGCAGGGTGTTACAGGTGGTATCAGAGCTAGAATAAGTGCTCTGTATACTAAAAGTTTAAGTATCAGAAAGCAGTTTCAGGAAAACCAACCACACCACACTCACCTCGCCGACAACCAGGTAAGTGTTGTTAAAAGTTTTTATGAAAGTTTTTATATAAGCAAATTACTAAGTCTATGCTCAGTAGGTGTAATGCCCCGTTCGTTTTTGAATAATATTGGAATTATTTAAGCATTATTGCATCATTGTTAATATTATTATTATTACTTTTATTTATAATAAATGTTATTATTATTAATATTTATATTAAATGTCTAAATTGCCTAATTGTTATTATGTGTTTAAATGTCTAGTATTATAATATTATTGTGTGTATTATATATATATATATATATATATATACATAAATATCCCGGTTTCATACTATTATTATTTTAATATTTAATTATGTGTATTATAAAAATATATTATATATCCGGTTTATTTATTTGTGCAATTAAATTTATCGAGCCCGAGAAAACTGTATTATTTCTACGTAGTCGGGCCCGAGAGCCGATGCGTTTTATTGAACCGAAACCCGCGAGCCCGATAATCCGGCCCAAGCCCGAGCCCAGCCAATCCGACCCGTGAGTGTGTGTGTGTGTCTTATTGGGCAAGACATAAAACCTATTATGTATATGTATTTTCTCCTTCACACTCAGAATCAGAAACCTTTAACCCGCAGCCCCATATCACTACAAGAAATCTGTGAAAAAGTGACGAATTTCATGTGACGAATAAATAATCGTCACCATATGTGGCCTTTCGGTGACGACTTTTAAAATTCGTCATTATACCATTGACTACGGTGACGACTATTCCATTCGTCATCTTAGAATGGTTTTTTCGTCACATAATCTAACTTTTTACGACGATTTTTCTCAAACGTCACTTATAAATAAAAGTTCGTCACATTTATACAATTTATGACGAAATTCCATGTGACCAAAAAAAAGTCGTCACTGTTGTACGTATTTACAATGACGATTACGACTAAATCGTCACTATTTTATTATTTAAGGTGACGATACATTATAATACTTGAAAAATCGTCACATTTTATACAAAAAATGACGAACTTCCATGTGACAAAAAAGAGTCGTCACTGTTGTAGGTCTTTAAAATGACGCTTTCGATTAGTTCGTCACAATATTATTATTTAATGTGACGAAACATTGTAATACATAAAAAGTCGTTACATTTTATACGCAAAATGACTAAGTTCTGTGTGACATAACAGCGTCGTCACTATTGTAGGTATTTAAAATGACGTTTTGGATTAATCCGTCACTATTTTATTATTTAATGTGACGAAACATTATTATACACAAACATTCGTCACAATTTGTATAGAAAATGACGAAGTTCCATGTGACGAAACATTGTCGTCACTGTTGTAGATGTTTAAAATGATGCTTTCGACTAATACGTCACTATATTTTTGGTTAATTTGACGAAACATTATAATATATAAAACTTCGTCCCATTTCATACGAAACATGACGAAGTTCCATTTGACAAAACAGTTTCGTCACTATTGTTGGTATTTCCAGTGACGCTTATGATTAATTCGTCACTATATTATTATTTATTGTGACGAAACATTATAATACATAAAAATTTGTCACTTCATACGAAACATGACGAAGTTCCATGTGACCAAAGAATACTCTATTCATGCCACCATTTACCGTCGTCCTTAAAGCCACATAATTTATGACGACTATGTTTGTCATGCATTATATTTTATCATTATTTAGTAAATAGTAATGAAAATTTTATGTAATTTATAAATAGGCTTTCATAATATCTAGTATTATTTAATAATTAAAATTATGCTTAGTAATCTTGACTCTTGAAACTTCCTTCGGTTAAATTTATCAATTTTTTTGCCCAAGGCGATCGAATTTTATAGTACTTGTGAAGAACCATAGTTCGTGATTCAATGGCCGCTTCGTAGAAAATTCACGGCCTTGGTTCGACGGAAGAATGGACTGTCGTGCTATAACACTTCAGAAGAAGAAGATGAACAATACACCAATAAAAAAAAAAAAAAGATGAACAACACAACTACCATATAGCTTATTAGCCTTATTAATAACATAAAATTAATAAAGTGTCATTAAGATTCCAAAAAATACCAATTTAAACCAAAAAAAAAAAAGAAAAAACAAATGAAAAGA